GTATCATCTTGCCATTGATTTTTCGTTAGAAACCTATAACTGCAGCAAAGTGTATTTCAAAAAAGAATATTTCAGCCTCAAAACTACTTTGGTAAGAATAAAAAATACACCATCTTCTTCAGTTTTTACGCTCTACTGGCTGAATGTCAATAATGTCCGCCGTTATATTCAATTCAATTTATATAGAAAATGCGTTATTAGAAGTTACCTGCCACTAATGGCCGTCGTCGAAATTTGAAAAAAACGGGAAAAGATTCTTATTTGTCAAAAAATTGCACTTTCATTGATTTAAAGAAATAGCGTGTTAGTTAAGGAAACAGATGGTGTCTACTGCATGTAACTCGGATGTTTTTTCATGTTCTGCCCGACTACATTTCAGTCAGTAGTACGTAACAAGCTAAACCAAAGTAGTGTGAGAATGGAAACAGCGCATTTCTTTTGCTCATTTTAAAATTGATAGCTAGTGGAAACAAGCACATTTCTTGCAGGTTAAACTACTTCGTCTTTAGTTAATAGAACACCTATTCTTGGTCACTTACCGTGTTATTAGCATGATATTTACTGATCTAGAGCATCAACACGTTTTTTTTCTTCTTGTGAAAGTGAGCAATGATTGAGTCAAATCTGTTTTTTCTATCACTCAGCGAACACGATCATTCATCAACAACGCTAAGTAGTATAAGCCTTGTAGAAGGTCGAAAACCACAGTGGATTTAATTTCTATTGACATTATTAAAAAAAATGCAGTCAACAATTTTATCCAATAACTTATGGAATGATATCGATAAAATAACAAAAACGTATTGGCTAAACTTGATATAAAAATATGCAACTAACGCATTTTGAATCGATAAACAGCGATTTCGATTAGGTGGGAGAATTCTCCCACCTTGTTTGAAATAATTACTCCGTTCATTTTGAAAAATTTACTCCTGCTAAAAAAAAGTTACTCTGAAAAGTTAAAAGTCCTTTTATTTTAGTTATCAGCTAAATATGTAGAGTTGCTCCATAAAACTTCCCCCACCTTGCCAAAGTATCGAAAATGCTGTTGACAAATTGTTGTCATCAAAGTTTTCAGTTGTCAACTTGCTTTTCGTTCTTCTTAGAAGTACAAAGTCAGTTTTTTTAATAAAATTAATCCATACCATCGTCAATATTTTGCATGTTTTATTGGTTTTTCTAGATTTCTGAACTGTTATAATTCATTTATTTTTATTTAAGATAAAACACAGTTGACCAGATTATAGCTGGCACACAGCAACGTTAACGATGCTGCATTTACCATCGATGTTAGTTTATGGTTTACTGTCATTTAGTATGGCGTAAGTGAGAATGACATTTGAAACTAATAATATCCTTTATTTGTCTTGTACTTTCTGTTTTTTAGGTTTTTGAACAAAGCATTATTTGAAGTGACTGGTTTTAAAAATAGTTTTTTTGTTATTTTAATCCAATTAGCCTTTCTTTTAGTCTCATTTTATGTGTTTAAAATTCTCAATTTGGTTAAACTTCCACCGTTAACTTATTTAGAATGTAAAAATTTCATATTACCGTCACTTATGTATAGTTTAACAACGGCATTATCATTAAAAGCATTAATCGGTTTAAATGTTGCTGTGTACGTTGTAGTCAAAAGATGTACACCAGCGTTCACGTTCATATTGGCAGCATTTGTGTTGAAAAAACAAAAGTTCAGCTTAACTCTTGGTCTATCTGTTTGTGCAATAACCACTGGTGCCATAATTACATCTGCAGGAGACTTGAAATTTGATTTGATATCTTATATTATTGGTGGTTTAAGCGTGTTAGCTCATGCCTTATATTTACTACTGATACAACGCTGTGGAGAAGATAAATCATCAGTTGATGTTTTATATATTAATTCTGTATTATCATTACCATTTATTTTTATATTAACATTATTTAGTAATGAATGGACAAGTGTAAAAAATTATAATGGCTATACAACATGGACATTTTGGCTATTTTTTCTATTTTCAACGATGGGTGGTAATTTATTAAATTATTCAACGTTTTGGTGTACAATGAAAAATAGTGCATTAACTACAAGGTGATAATTAGTAACATAGTGAATTGTTTACTTTTTATTTTTTGCATCTTTAGAATTTGAGAAAATCTCATCGAATAACAAACACAATGGGAGATAAATTTGTTTCATCTTCTTTTAGTGTTGTCGGTGTTCTAAAATCGATATTACAAATTCTATTTGGCATATTTACATTTGAAAGACTTGATTTGAACATTTATACAATAGGTATTTTTTTATAAAAATAGTATATTGGTTTTCTCTTTAAGTCATGCCTGTCATTGAGAAACATCCTTTGAGTGAAAGAATATCTGAAGAGAAGTCTATAGAAAAAAAATTCTGAAACAAAAATTATTCATTGACCGGTAAATCTTCTCTTTGCAAGTATTCTGACAACATGCTGCCTCAAGATCTCTTTCTTTGCGCGTTTTAGGTGGAATAACATTGAGTTTAATCGGTGGAACAATGTTTAGTTATGCAGAATATCATGCGAAAGTAAATCGTAATAAACGAACACCAGCAAGTATGAATAATGAAATCAGTACCCAAGAAAACAATCAACAACACCAAGTTGATCTAGAAAACTCAGCTGACGATAATGAAAAGTTTGTTTATATTAGAAAGATACATAATTAATTTCGGAAGGGAAACGTCTACTCAGTGGAAGATCTTGCTACTAACCATATGATTCGCATGTAATTTTGCTATTGACACAAAGTGACTGGGTCCGAGACAGAATGGTTTGGTCTTAATAGTAGCAGAATAATTTAATGATAATTTATGCTTATTTTATATTGTCTTTCTCCTATATATATCAAAATCTTTCATCCTGTTTTCAGCTATTTTATTTTTTAAGCTTAAAATTTTGCTATTGACTGAAATTGGAATTGTTTTCGAACTGCGTTTATCTAGAAAAGCTATTTTGATACTTTCTATTTTAGATCAGTCTTCCACGAGTGTGAAACAAGTGTAAAACGCAAATCATCACTGTTAGCTGTATAGATTTTTATTTGCTAGGCAATTTTTTCTTTTTGCAGTCTCGAATTGAAATGATCTCAGAATTCTGTTTCTGTAACACATTCCAGTTTTTTATATTTGCTTTGGTGTACTTATTTTCACCACATGTGATATATATTAGTCCAATTTTATGTTGACATTTTCGACAGTGTATCTAAACTTCAAATATGAACAAAATGCTTTTTTCTCTTTTCTTATTTACTTTTTGTGTATTGTTATAGGATGGCTTTATTAAACTTCATATTGCTGGTTCAAACGAAAACTTCATTTTTGAAAACAGACAAAACCTTACAAAAGTTAATTTTTATGATTATATATGCAAATTCGGACTCGTCTACATTCATGAGCTAAATTAAAACCTTATGTTCTTTGATCTTCATTCATTTTCCTCGTATGAAATCTAAAACGTGAACCAGCATGTGACATGCACTTTTTGAGAATTTGAATCATTGTTGTGCAATAACGTGTCATATGAGCTTCGTAACGCCAACATTTGAGTTCCAGAAGACATTGCCTATGTCATCAATATGAGCCAAGAAAAGTAAATGGCCCAATACACTAACTTAAGTCCGGGCTGTCAGGCTTTATCGCCAACAACACTGCTAATCTCTCTGTTACTCAGGTAACTTTGATGCCATCAACTTTGGCCATACCTTCTTCAACCAATATATGCAACATAGCATGCAAAACTTTATCAATGGTCTTTTGAAGATTCGTCAACACAACCTTAATGTCTCCATCAGAATAGCGTTCTTGATGCGTGGAACTGATTAAACCCCTTAATTAATAAACAGACGCCAATGTTGGGCGGTACGGTGCGTCCTGTGCTTTTTCTTTTAAGCCAGGGTGAAATACAGATGGCGTCTCACCGCAACTTGGATGGTTTTTCCTGTCCTGGCCGTCAACATTTCAATCAGTGAAGCGTAAAAAACTGAAGAAGATGGTGTATTTTTTATTCTTACCAAAGTAGTTTTGAGGCTGAAATATTCTTTTTTGAAATACACGGAGGAGGTCTCGCAACGTATATTTCCTCTACTTTACAATTTTCTACACTCGCTTCTTCTAATGTTATCGAAGCTTTTTTATTACATGTACAGTCTCCTGCTGACTTTCTTTTATGCACCTGTTACCGTTCGCAATCTGTTCCTGTTGATTTCTTTCTCGATGTTCTTTACACTTTTGTTTCTAACTATTCGTCTGTCTCTCCTAACCTTCTGTTGTGTGCTGATCTTAATCTTAACTTCCATGTGTCTTCCGAAATGTACAATGTTCAAAGTCTCCCTAGTTCTTTTCTGTGTTCTCTTGTTGATTTTTCTGTCACTACTACTTCAAATACGTGTATTGACTATATCTTTTATCCTTCTTCTTGGAACAATCTTTCTTTCTCCTCTTTTCTCCCTGTTGGCTGTTCCCCTCATTTTTGTTTATCTGCTACTTTTGATGTACCTGTTCAATCTCTTTTTACTTCTACTTCTTATCGTTATGACTTTAAAAAAGCACAGTGGCCTGAACTACGGCGTGTTCTCTCTCTTATACCTCATGGCCTTTATACGGCTACCGATGTTGATACGGCCGTCCACATTTGGACTGAGCACGTAAACGATGCCATCCGTAGATTCGTTCCAC